CACACACACACACACACACACGCGCCCACGAACACGCGCGCGCGCGCGCGCACACACACACACACACACACACACACACAGAGAGAGAGAGAGAGAGAGAGAGAGAGAGAGAGAGAGAGAGAGAGAGAGAAGCCTTGTCGGAAGTCTGTTATTCTGTGGAGATTTGCCGCCTCTGCCAACCAACTTTGGATTAACCGCCTTATTTGATGATGTCCACATGTGGTTGATTGAAAGCTTTTGCCAAGATCGCTGTACACGTTGCGGTGTTCGCTACCTGTGAACGAAGAAGAAGAAGTAGAACAGACTATACGGACTCTCTCGGAGTCCCCCGACTGCATGCCCTTCTCTCCCCATGCCATCCTGGACTAACTGTGAGGTGTAGTTAACAGTCTCAGAAGCTAAACCATAAACCTTTGCGGTTAGCTACGTTGGTCATCGCTGACGGCCCAAGATCCCCCAAAGCACTGGATCAGAACCGAGTTCGGGAATCCTATCGTTGATGCTGCGTTTGCCGATGCAACAACATATTCATCCGCATTCCAATGAAATTACCAGAATTGACTGAGAATCGACCAGGACCCAAGGAATGACCGAGATACGGCGTACTCCTGAACCTTGCAGGCTCCAGGGCGACTCCAGATTCCAATGACCAGAACTGACCGAGAACCGAGTTCCATGACCTAAAATTCACAAAACTAAAACTACAAAAAGCTGAACCCCCCAAGGAACCTGACAAAACACAAGTCGATAACCTGCCCTTCATAGACCAATGAAGGATTTAACTTAGTGTACGTGTTAGGAAAAACGTCAGAGCAGGCATAATTGCTATTCCAGTTCCACAACTAATCAACGACGGCCTCATAGTTGAACGGGAAATGAGTGGAAACTAACCGCGGCAGCAGCTGATGGCTGAGTGGCTGAGAGCCACCTGCGAAAACATCGTAGGGGCGCCCCCCCCAACGTACCCGACAGCCTAGAAAGTTAAGGGCCAGACGCAAGGCCCATCAACCTCAGATCAGCTATTTGAGAAAAGGGAGATATCACCGAAACCAGACCCCAGAGCATATCATCTTGCCATATCCTAAGTTAACCAGCCATGCTCGTCAGTGAGGCAACCGCTTCGAGAGATCTCACTCAAGATGAATCCTCGATGATTGCAGATTTCAGATTCAAGACAAGTACTGCCCGTTTCTGTCCAGTCACTCCAGTGTGCGTGCGAGCAAATAATACTTGAAAACACCAGTCGATATGGCACATCGACGTGGGACGCGCAGCTATTCCATCGAAAGTGATTTCTCTCAGCACACGCAATGGGACACCATTTTAGATCGTAGATCAGCCTGTCAGTCACTATCTTCTTAGCGGTGGAAAAGGGGCCGCTATCCGCTGACACACCTACACTTGGTCATCGATCAGACAGACTATCACACCTACACCTCGTCAAGTTGACGTCAACCATCCGTCACTAAGGTAGCGCTCTCCCCACAGTGCGCCCCCGTCGTTTGCCGCCACCAACGACGCAACTCGAACTCTTAACAGGCTTAGCACAAGGGTCACACCAGCCTGTTCAATGCAAGGCCTAGAGTCTAGACTGACGTAACTTAAATGTACCTGGTCGCACTCAACGCCAGATTCGGTGCCAATCGACTGGTTGAAGAAAGGCTTGAAGCGCGCAGCGTCAGTTTTACAACTTACCATATGAGCTCACTACCGACGAGCTGTTTTTTTTTTTTTTTTTTTGGGGGGGGGCCGACGAACAATTTCGAAAGTCAAAGAAAAAACAAACGAGATAGAAAGACAGCTCCAAAAACATGCCCGCCGTTACGAGTCGAGTCGAGAAGAGAAGATTTGATTCCTGTTGTGGTCCCCCACAAGCGACAAACATGTCTGATCTACCTTCTTCCCCCAAATAAAACGTACGGTCAGCATAGCTGTATGTGAGGCATCTTTCTGTCTAGATACAGCTATAATGACCGTACGTTGTATTTGGGGGAAGAAGGTAGTCGAGAGGCTGGTTCTCAAGGCTAACAAGTGCACTGATCGTGACTGACGGTCAAGCAAGCCGTGGCGCTGGAGAAGCTACCGTCTTCCCCCGAACATAACGCACCCTGACAATGAATATATACAGACTATCTTTCCGTCCAGATACAGTCAGTAAAGGAAGTCATGGCGCTAGAGAAGCAACCGTCTTCGCCCGAACATAACACACCCTGATAATGAAAATATATAGACTATGCTGCCGTCCAGATACACTCAGAATGAGGAGCGGCAAACGCGCGCGTACGTAGCGGAAAGCTCGCTCCTACGTAGAAGTATGCATGCATGATCAAGGCCGCATATAGACTATGCTTCCGGTGAAGTCGAAAGCAAAGCACAAGCGATTCAAAAAAAAGCGGAAGAAAACTACTGGCTATTAAGATCTTAAACCACAACCTCTGTTCGCAGGGCAGGTTTGCTTTGACTGCAGAGCGGGATAAACACAAGCACCAGTCTGCATTTCACATTCTGAGATGTGTGTCAAATTGTCAATCACTACGCTACGACGCCAGTTCCCTAAACGGCCGTACGTTCCTTTGCGGAGACTTTCTCTAGGGTCTGCACTCCAATACGATCATGCCGATCGAGATGAAAAGGGGTACTAACCTTTACATGTCTGCGGTCTTGAACACTGGTGTGCCGATCGACATGAAAAGGGGCAACTTTTACATGTCTCAGGTCTCGGACATTGCTGTGGTATTACGCAAAGTCAAGCCGTCTCTACAATCAGAAAAGCTGTCGAACCTTAGATAGGAGCGATCCATGATCCATCCCATTTTCTCCCTCGGCACCCCAATGTCACAGAAGGAAAGGGAAAGGGAGAAACCAGAAGGGGCGGGCAATCAGCTGATAAAAGACGGAGAGAGAGAGAGAGAGAAAGAGAGAGAGGGGGCGGGGGGGAAGGAGGGGAAGGGGGAAGGGGGAAGGGGGGGAGGAAGGTCACTGGTGCCACCAAGAGCTATGGTTGTCTCCAATCGGGCGAAACGTTGCTGCGTGTCATATTCCGGCACTCTTGCATGCAAGCTCGAGTTCTCTTCGCTTCTGCTGAACGTACCCCATGCCGCGACGCACGGCAGAGGCTGCGTGATCATCGTCGAGGATTTCAGTGATAAGAGACTGCAGCGAATCTCTGAGAGGATAACCCACCCCAGCGATAGCCTTTCTCGCCTCCCGCGCTCGCAGATCGAGTTGGTCCCACACTTGGCAACAGCGAAGAAACTCCTTATCCTCTCTCTTATAGCTTTCCGCGTCAGCTATCATGCTCTGGATGGCCGACTCCGACAGCGGGCCTGTGTTGGTAATCACTGCACATGCTCTCTTTCCCGGCTCCGAATGGTTTTTGACTCCAGTTGCTGAGACATGCACGATACAGTCCTCGTCAATGCGTACGTGAAGGTCTGCCTCCGCCTCGCCAGCCTCCCGTGGTTTGAACCCAGCGAGTTCTAGTTCCCCCAGATAGTGATTCTCTTCGGGAACTGGACGCTCTCCTTCGTAAATACGGAAACACATTGAGGTTTCCCAATCAGATCCAGTGGTCAGACGCTGTGTCTGTTCAGCAGGGAGATCCGTGTTCCTTGGAATCAGCTGCAAGATCCGGTCTAGACGAAGGCCCACTCCAAGGCTCAGCGGGGTAACCTCCTGTACGGGGAGGATACTCCTGTCCACACACTTGTCTCCCCCCAAGATATCTGCCAGCACGGCTGCCCCGTGAGCGACGGCCTCGTCCGGATGAAGACACTGCTGCGGCTGCTTGCCATTGAACATCGTCTTCAACATGGCCTTGATCTTGGGAATCCTAGATGATCCTCCGACGAGCAGTACGTTCGAGATCTGGGAGGCGCTGAGCTTGGCATCGTCCAAGGCTTTCTGAACAATGTCCATGCACCTTCGGAACAGAACCCCATTGATCTTGTCGAACGTGGCCCGAGTGATCGGGATCCTCTCGTTGCCAGCCTCAACGTAAGCCATCTGATGATTAGTTAATACGTGCTTGGCGAGCACGCAAGCTTTCTTCAGCTTGCTCTGGAACCTAGGATCCGACTGCCATCCGACGCTTCTGCCGGGCTGCCTCGTGGCCAGCTGATCGAAGACGTGCCGCACAAGGTTGTTGTCGAAGTCGGCTCCACCTAGATGAGTGTCCCCGTTGAGCACCAAGACCTTACACTTCGATCCGCAAACGCGCAGGATGGCGACGTCAAAGGTCCCCCCTCCCAGATCGAACACCAACACTTTCTCTCCATCCTCGCTGCTCCCGCGATTGCCCACCGCCAGACTGGCTGGATTCCGAAGGACGAGCGCCTGCGACACCGCGCGGCTCGTTTCTTCCCGCACCACTGGGATGATCTTGTGGTCCAGATATGCGTGGGCCGCTGCAGTTGGCTCGTTCAGCAAACGCAACACGTTCAGCCCAGCGATTCTCCCCGCATCCCTCGTGGCTCGACGCTGGGAATCGTTGAAGTAAGCCGGCACAGTGATCACAGCGCTCTCGACCTCGCAGCTAAGGTAATCTTCTGCCGTCTCCTTCATCTTCGACAACAGCATCGCTGCGATCTCCTCTGGAGCAAACGTCTTGTGCCGCACTCCTGCAAGCGCACCATCGCCAAGCTGTAAAGCAGCCGACCCGCTCTCTCCTCGCACCACCTTGAATGGCCACTGCTTCAGATCCCGCTGCACGCAATCGTCCGTGAATTCCCTACCTATCAATCTCTTAGCCTCGTAAAAAACGTTTTCGGGATCTTCAACTGAGCTTAGCCTCGCTGCCTCGCCCACTTCTCGACCGCTTTCCGTGAATCCTACGAAAGAAGGCATCAATCTTGATCCTGTTTCAAAAGGTATAATCTCTACTCTACCCCGTCGGCTCACTCCGACGCAGCAGAACGAGGTACCAAGATCGATCCCAATTGACGCCATGGCAGTGTTCTCACCGAAAAAGCTCCGACTCCCTCCCCTGATCTCGAAGTGATCTGGCCGATAAGAGCAGACTGAAAGGAACTTCAACGAGATCGATTCAGCAGTGACGATGCACTTGTTTTGAGACGATTCCTGCCAACTATGCTGTCACGATGGCGAAGGCAAATCTGTTCTCTTCTGTTCTCTTAGTGTAATCTTCTGTTCTCTTCTATTCCGTTCTGTTCTACATTCTATCCCCCTTCAGCTCTATCTAGTGCTAATTGCGTGCTATGACATCGTACTGCTCGAGTCCGAAGACACTCTGCTCAGTGTACTCACGAATTCGCGTGATCAACGCTGGCGCACGTCATCGCTATGCAAGCTTATGCTGCTGTAAGCTGTGCGAGGGTGGCGAGAGCCCTAACCGAGACAAGAGTAAAGGTAGGTGGTTCTCAGGAATGGAGAAGGGCAGCTAATGGGAATACACGAGCAGCTGCGGTATATGTAGTCGAATCTCGCAAACTACTTGGTAGTTTGAGGAGGACGAGAGCTCTCACCGAGGGCAATGTCCCACTTGTGCGGATTGAGAGATAGCGGTCGCAGATAACGGGGAGATCAACGGCCTGTAGTCGAATCTCTTATTCCATGTTCGTGGGACCTTGCCCGAAGTAAAACGGTGTACGTGCATAAACTGCGGAACTCGTTGGATATTCTTATTCCCACACATATATCGCCCTGCTTTTCATGTGCAAATCTACGTCTCGTTCTGTTATCGGCGATGTGAACTCCTTTCTGTGGATCGTTTTCCAACAGACGGCGAATTGCAACCCAACGGATCATACCAAAAAAAAAAAAAAAAAGAAGAACAAAACAAAACGAAACAAAACCAAAAAGACACATACGTGCGATTCTGCAAAACTCGTTGGTAGATTGAAAATCTCATGGCCGTAACTGTGGCCAAGTATGAAAAGCAGCAAAAAGCTCAAGAACTACTGAATCAAAGCTGCTACCGTGCGCCTAAATCCCTTTAGCTGGGGGTTCAGTCTTCCTTTCGAGTATTTTCCAAGGTGGCACAGTACGGCCGTGAGATGTTCAGATTGGATGGCCAGGTGCGGTGCATTCTTGAACCAAGTCCGACCACCCGCTGCGGAGCTTAGCCCCCGGGGCTACCCTATTCACCCGAGTAGAACGCCCGGTACTTATTGCTGCATCTGGACTGAAAGTTCCATCAAATACAGCTATAATGACCGGGCGTTCTATTCGGTCGAAGACGGTAGTCCCACTGGTATACAGGTTTTAGACTTGGTTTCGAACTTTCGAGAGCGCACCGGTTCGTGCCATCCGATCTGAACATCTTACGGCCGCACTGTGGCCACGTTGATAAATACTCGAAAGGCCGACTAAACCCCCGCTTGTGGACATTAGCCCCCGTAGAGGGGTCTTGGCCCAATGTCCGTGGATAGCGAAGATGGACAACAACTTGTGCCACCTTCTGCCGCGGACGCCTCCCATTGATCATGAATGTATCATGTATGTAGCGTAATATTCATCGGTCCCATACCATCAGCATGAGGGTGCATTCTCTGTGTGGGAAGACGGTGGTGGGATCTTGGCCCTGGATGTGGTGATAGGCTGATAGCACCAGAGGAGGAGTTCTCACGGACCGAAGCACATCTATGCACACAGAACAGATATACGAAGCACGGCTTTTTTCGATTAAAAGAAAAGTTGAAAAAAACTGGTCCACATTACTTTGGGGGGATGGATCTGAATGCTGATATGAGGCACCCACATCCGACTGGGTGGAAGATGGGGCAGAGGAAGTGTGGGGGACGTCAAGTGCCACTCACCCTGATTCCTTTTTTTTTGTCTTTTTTTTTTTTTTTTTTTTTTGAAATATCACATTGGTACTCATCGCATTGAAAAAGGATGACTGGGGCCGGCCACCCCACATTACCCCAGTTCGCTTTGTCTGCTTATCTTATCAATTATCCTAAAACAAGAGAAATGGAGGGGGGGGGAGAGAGAAGAGTGAAGAGGCAGCCTGCCAAAGTAGGGGAGCCCTTTTCAACAAAGAAACAGGGCTTCACATTTTCGTCTACCCATGTCAAGTGCCACTCACCCTGATTCCTCGTTTTCTGGCCGTTGATG